CATTTCGCTTAGTTCCGGCTATGTCATCATCACTATCACCTTCATTTCTTCCACCCAACATCGCCTGGGTCTCTGGTGCACAGGCCAGGCCAGTGTTGGACCGTGGGACACAGAGAGGACTCTGATTCCCTATGCAGTAGGGCAGCCTGTCCAGGGAGAGGAAGGTATGTAAACATTAGGTGTTACAGGAGCTCTGAAAGAGAGAGAGAAGTGGGGGGACTCATAGCACAGAGCAGGGACAGGGACCTGCTGAGGCCATGTGCTGTGCACTTTACATTTTCCCCAGACCCACTCCCCACTTCTTACCCCCTGAACTGTCCTGGATGCTTAGTATGAACTATAAGGGTCTCCCTCACCCGTAGGCACTGGGAAGTCCCAGCATTAAATGGCAGGAAGGCCAGGACAGACAGCGACTATGCCAGGGCACTATGGATTGCCTGTGCCCACAGCTTCTATCAGGCAGCCTTCCTGATACCCAGCTCTCATGCTACTGGGCTTCCTGCCCTTGGTCCTCTGGCCACAAAGCCCCATAATGTCACTAGACTTGGGCTGTGGCACGAGCCCTGGAGCTTTCCCTATACTCTGTCTACATCTTTGTGAAAAGTCTTTGTATTAAACTTTCCTCGAACTGCCCAATTTAAGTAGACAATTTTCTACAAGGAGTCTGGCTAATGCAAGGCAGAGGTAGTTAGGAAAGGTGCCAGAGAGGTGATAGTTAAAGGTTTTCTTGTCTGACAATGATCTTTCTAAAGTATAAAACTGACCATACTTCACCCCTACTAAAGAGTTTTGTGGCTCCCATTGCTCTGAGGATAAAGTCTGTATTTTTTAGCCTGTCACCTGAAACTGTCTATCAACTGGTCCTTGATGACCAAATGGCATGTAAGGAAGCCCCCCAGAGAAGGGGCAGTACAGGGTTCAGATGGAGGGAAGGAGGCCCCAGAAGGGTGCAGCCATGCCACAAAGCTGCTCCAGCTGGCAAACACACATAGGAAAGGAGTGGGTGAGTTTTGAGCCAGAGGGCCATGCCAGGCTGTCCTCCTGTTATCCCAACCTCTGCCCTCCTCCGCTCTGAGGTGAGCAATGGTGTGAGTCTATCCCCAGGGGCCCTTACTTTGGGCAAAAGACTGGTTTCAATGCCTCCCCATCACTGACATCCATCAAGTTCTTGGATCCCCAAACCTTCCCTTTCTCAATTATAAAATAGTAATAACCCCTCAGGGCTATGGGGGAAGCATAAAGGAGGCAATGGATGGAATTCACTTATGTCAAGGAGTTCTGTTTAATGTGGGCCCTCCCGCTGTCTGCAAGACAGGAAAGGCACAGAGGACTGAAGGCTCAGGGAGGCTGAGTGTAAATCCCAGCTTTGCCACAGGTTGTGTACCCTTTCACATTTTCTGGTTAGAGATTCTGTGCTTATTATTTTCTGGTTAGAGATCCTGGATGAACCACTTTACTCTCCGCACCTCATTTGCAAAGCAGCGGGATAATTGCCCTTCTCAGAGTGATTGTGAGGAATGGTAGGCTCAACATTAAGCCTTATCAACATAAGGAAGGACCCAACACAGATCACATGCTTGCTAAATGTTTTTTTCTCCCCACAGTTCTCATAGGACAGGCATCCTCTCTGCCTGGGGACCAGCCATTGACCTTCCTCTCCTGTGAGATGGAGGGGCTGAGCTGGCATCATCATAATGCGTCTCCGTGGTACATGTGTCAAGCTCTTTACCAACTACAAAGCCATGAACATAATTCCTCATGGCAGCACAGCACAGGTGACTGAAAGGGAACAATAGGATACGCCACCCTTGGTAAAGCGCACCCTGGTCTTGCCCTCCTTGGAGGAGTGACTTCACCTATCTCTGGTTTAGCCGAAGCACATATCAGTCGGGTTGGGAAATGCTGAAGGAGAAATGACCCAGCTCAAAGAACACATCTCACAGCTGTCTTGCTCACTATGGGAAGAGCAAGCAGGTCGTCATAGGAACCCATGAGTGATAGAAAGTGTGGGAAAAGGACCAGAAGTCAGAATTCTGTGATTCTCCATGCTTTCTTCATATGGGGAAAATAGTCCCAGGACATGAATAGCTTCCAAGAAATGTCTGGGTCTAGGTTGCATCCATATCCAATCTGGACCAATGTACTTATACAGTAGCCATGGTGTAGTAGCTGATGGCAAAAGGAGGGACTTTTCTACAAGTCAGGATTCCAGGGACTACTATCTTAGTGATGCAATCCCAGAAGCAATCAATTGCCTCAGGCCTTGCTTGCATCCTTTGGTGGATGTTCCCACACATGAAGCACTCGATCTGTGGGCCAGGGTTTGTAGCCCTCATCTTGACACCACCAAGCCAGCTTATCTTGCTAACCCACCAATCTGATCACACTCCTCCTCCTGCTGCTCACACCCCTGTCTTGGTCCATCATAAGCCTCAACTTCCTGGCAGGACTACAAATCTTTCCCTGTTGTCAACCTTGCCAGCTTCATCTCCTACCCAACCTTTGTCTATATACTGCTTCTAGCCACATTAAGATACTCATAGCTTCCTCTCCAGGCCTTTGCCCATGCTATAACCTCCGTCAAGGTACCTTCCCTTCCTGTCTGCCTAACAGAATCAGACTCATCTCATCAGGTCCAGCAGCAATGTCCTCTCTTCTTGACTTCCAATATGCCATTCCCTCCTCCTCTGCAGCCACTATACTCATTCACTGGTCAGTCAGCTGTGGAGCAAGCCTCTCTGCCAAGCCAGGCCCACACCAAGACATAGAGTTGATGAGGTTCCTGCCCTTGGGAAATTCCTGGTCCAGCAGAGAGGCAGACAGTGCAGACAGATGGAGACAGCACAGGAGAGAAGGGATGAACTCAGCATAGCCTCTCATGTCATCCTGTCCTGCGACCACTGGCTTTGGGATGCCATCTCCACAAAAACAGTGATTAGATCTGATTCCCCTGGCTTAATCAGGACCTGGCCAAGAGAAGGGGCATAGGAAAAATGTGCTGAAATAGATGAATTTGGGATCTGAATGTCTCAAGTAGGCCTTTTTTACTCAAAGTCTTGCCATTTATTATTATTAAAATAACGCTATCTTGTTTTTCATTGCAACATGGTAACACCCTTATGTGTTATGATTTCATTTGAACCTCAAATACTCAAGTGAAGTCAGCAAGCTAGGAACTGTGACCTCTATTTCCTGATAATGAAACAGAAACCTAGACAGGACAGGGATAGTGACTTGCCCAAGGGCACTTGGCAAATCAGTGGTAGAGGATGGGCCAGAACCCAAACTTTCTGCTTTCTAGCTCAAGCTTGGCCCCTGAGATTGTTCCAGAGGTGAGTGGGTAGGCCCTGGGTCCCAGCCTAAGCCCTCTTTCATAGGAGACCCTTCAAGAGCAGGTACAGTCACACAGTGACCCAGGATCTTGGCTGCAAGAGAAGCAGCAAATATCCACTGACTGGCACCTTCAGCATCCACTCATCTTTGCCCCAAACTATTCCACACCCACTTGCAATTTCCAGCCTTTGCACACACCGTCTCCACGTCCCTCTGTGATATGGCATGCGACTAGCCTTTTCTCAGTTTCCTAAAAGGCATCAAGCACTTTCCAGCCCCCAGAGTCTCACCCCATGCTGGTCCCTCTCCTTAGGATGCTTTTTCTCGACGCTTGATTGACTCAGTCCTCAGGGCTCAGTGACATGTGTTTAGTGAGATTCTCCTCTGTGGCCTTCAGGGAGTTGAACACATGGAAGTGTTTCTCAGTCTCAGCTGTGGTATCAGTCACATGCTTCCTTGTGACTGAGATTCCTGTCATTCTCCCCTGCCTGTGTGAAGAGGTGGTCAAGACCTCAAAAGCAGAGATGGGTTCTCTTCTCATGCTGTGACTCCACAGCTTGCTAAAGCTATGCCGAAGACGATTGACTTTTCACTGTCATGCTTGCTGCCCTCTACATCCAATAAGTCACTCCACTAGATTCTGTTAGCTCTGCCTCCTCCTGCACTCTCCTTTCTTTTTGTGGTGCTGGGGATGACAACAGGGCCCTGGCACGTTGAGCTAGTTCTCTACACCGAGCTACACCCTTGGTAGCGTTTTCTCTAGATCAGGCCTTCCCTCTGTTCCTTCAGCTGCCCCAGGCTCAGGCTCACCCTCTCTGCCCTGACTTCTCACTGCCGCCCTATCCCCTCCTGTCCATGTCCCACATTATGGCTCCAGAACTCTTAAAACTCATCTGAGCACTGTCACTTTCCTAAAGCTCCCCCAAGAACCCAGATGTCTCCGGAGTGGCACTTTAGGGCCTCCTAAGATCAAGCCCCAGCCCCGTCTCCAGCCATTCCAGATCTCCCAGTCTGAGGCAGAGCCCATGCTCTTCAGTGGCTCCCCAGCTCCCTGGTTTCTCTCTTGTCTCAGTACTGTGGCTGATGTCAGTACATAGCTCTCTCTGACCTCTCCAAACCTCACCAACTTGAGCGTCCCAAGGGCAGGCATATGCTAATCAGGCTGCCCGCCCCCAGCACACAATAGTGTACATATGGTCTGTGATCTTCTTGATAAATGGAAAGGCAGAGGTGTTTCGGGTGGTTTAGAAGCTCTAAACTACCTAATCCCAATACAGGGACCTGATAAAGGACCTCTGCAAATGGAGACGCGGGGTGCGCGGCCAACAGAACACAGGCACCCCATGCCCTTCCGCACGTGCAAGGTTTCCCCGCCCACAGTCTAGCTGCCGGGCTGGACCAATGTCCGCGGGGGAGGTCTGGGACGGACTGAGGGAGCTGCTGGAATAACCGGGCCAGCCCTTTGGAACCAGGCCTCTAGCGCCTCTGCCTCCCACATTCCGCCAAGCCGCGCAGTGCAGGTCCCCGCCCTGTCTTAGGCCTGCACTGAGCAAAGACCCAGGAGCTTTTCTGCTATCCCCGCTCTAGGACTTGGTGCGGGCCGCGGGGTGGAACGGCCCGCCCCCACAACTGACGTCGCGGCCCGCCCCTTGTGAGGTTATAAAGTGCGCGCTCCCTGCGACGAACCTGGTGGCTTCCCAGCTCGCTGGGAAGAGCTTGGGCTCTTCTAGCTCCCCAGCCACAGCTCTCGGTACGTCACCCGCGCCACTTGGGCGCGTCCGAGGACTCCCGTGCTCCGTGCAAAGCCCTGGCCCCGGCGCCCAGGGCATGGGCCAGGGGCGTGGGGCTAGGCGGCTTCTCGCGGGGCCGTGACCTGAACCGGCTTCAGCATGAAGACTCTCATAGCAGCGTACTCTGGGGTCCTGCGAGGTGAGCGTCGGGCAGAGGGTGCCCGAAGTGAGGGTTCGGGTAGAAGATCTGCGCTGTCTCCTGAAGCGTCGGGAAAATGGGGTGAGTGTCTGTCACACCGGGAGACTTTGATCCTGGTGGTGTGTACCAGCAAGATTTCCAGGAAAGGGCTCTGAGGCAAGCTGATTGGTGCTGGAGGATGGCTACTGCAAAATGAGTTCCCAGCTCCTTTCTTTTCTCTGGGGGAAACTACCGGCCGTCTCCAGTTATGTGGGTCTGTGATGAGGAATAATCATCTTTAGTCTGGTTACTCATTGTGATCCAGGCAGCTTGGCATCCTAGTCAAGTCTTGGTTTATTCTCCACTCTGGCACTTGTCACTTTTTTTGCAACATCTGTTACATCACCTCCTGCCTCCCCCACCCCAGGTCATAAGAATGACACTATCTACCCTTTCCAGTTATTAGGAGCATTGGAGAACTCCTCTCCAGTCCCCAATACCATACTGTCTATCAGTACTTCTGGTAGTTTTCTCCCCATCTCCTCCCCCAGGTGGAGCAAGCTTTGGCAGCAAGAGTCTGAATGAGGCAGGCTGGCAAGGTTTTTGCCGTCCCCTGAAATACCCTCTCATAGGGACCATGTCTGGCCGGGGCAGGTGTGTCCACGCTGCCTTACATCCATCTGCCAGTCCAGGCCGAGGAACCTGGTCAGCAGCAACTCTGGGCCTAGTATACTTAGAAGGCAAGCCGGGAGGGGGTGCTGGGTATCTTCCAGGGTGGAACTCAGGCCCTCAAGGAATCAAGGGCACATTGAAATCAAAAGCCACAGATTTTCATATGTAAGGAAAGACACCCCTTCCACCTTCATGCTTGTCTGTCGTTGGAGAAAATGAGGCAGAAAGAACCATTGTGCTAAAGTTTCCTTAGCAGATGCCTTGAGCAGGAGATTAAATTCAAATCCAAAAGACTGTGGAAGTCATCAGAGGTATCCTGGTCTGCAAATCTGTCATGCATGAAACCTGTCTCTGTCCTCCTGAGTCTTTTTTCTGCTTGTTCAACCTCTACTACCTGGGATTTTTCTTCAGTAACTAATAATTCCCTGCTCTATTTGCCTTTTATAAAAAAGTGCTAATTATGAAAATCTTGAGACAGGAAGAAAATAAAAATTGCTGGTAAGTAACCTACCCAAAGATAGCTTCCTATTAGTATTTTAGTATATTTATTTATAATTTTCCTTATACATATGTTATAGATTTTTGAGGACATGCTGTAGAGTTCTGAATCCTGTTTTTACCCTTAGTGTTACATTGTGAGTATTTCCTACTGTTAATAAAAATCATTTTAATATGTTAGTGGCTGCAAGGTAACACATGCTGGAGCTGTATCACAGTTTAGCTGTCCTGGGCATTGGCATTGTTCCTTGATTATTGCTGTGGTTATCTGCCTTCTTGGTCTGGGTGCTGCTTGTTCCCTTGGAGAGGTATTGAGCTACTGTTGCCATCCTCGAGTGACCAGCCTGAGCTGTCTTGTGCACCAGTTGAGCAGCCTCTGATATCCTTTTCTGTCACTTAGTGTGCTTTTCTGTTCACTGCGCCCTTTGATTCCCTTAATAGGGAAGGAAGGGATATGCCTATGTTTGTGCTTTGAAAATGTTTTGGTCTCCAAATATCAAGATAGGGGCACTTTCTGCTTTGGTCCTTCCTGGAGACCCCCTTTCTGGGTTCTGCTCTCCACAAGCTGTGAGCTGTGTCTTCCAGTAACCAAGGGATCTTAGCTCTGTTTTTGACCTAGAGTTTATTATTCAAGAGAATTTGTACTCTAGTAGGTGGTCTTGACCAAGTCACATTATATCATATCAGGATCATTTCTCTATATTGTTATCAGATCTTAAAAATATGATATTTAAAAAATGGGTGTGAGAAATTATAGCATAGAGTGTATGTAGCAAGAGCTAATATGAATACAAACCAGTCAGTTTAGCTCTTCAGAGTCTACTTTGGTGAAAGACTGGGTGGGGTATGGGAGGTGCTAAACCAAATTTTACATTATCTTGGCATTTCCATTAGTCCTGCTTTCTACATCCTCAACCCTTGAAGACACTCCCCAGTGGCCTAGTTTGCCTCTGCAGTTAAGTTCCCAGTGTTGCGAGATAGTGAGCACCTTTTCCCTGGCAGTATTCAAGGAGAGACTATGGATTCTCTGAAGGGAAGTCCTGTGATGGGTGAGAGATTGCAATAGTTACCTTGGTGCCTAATTTATTTGCAGCAGTGTGGGTAGAGGAGTTGGAGGTTGTTGGGTGAGGGGGAGTGTGTGTTGTTCTCTAACCTCTGAAGGATGGTCTTGGGCCAGGCATTTAGGCTGCTGAGTAGCTGCATACGCATCCCTGCTTCTGCCCAGGCATCGGGGGGGGGGGCTCTTTGGGGCCCTTGAATGCTTACCTACATCCTCTGGGTTCGGTACGGGACCCAACATGAAATGGTGACAGTAAAATTCTGAGCTGATATATTCTGTGAGAGTTCAAAGAGCAAGGCCAGGAACTGGGGTGGGATTACGGAGGGGCAGGTTTCAATGCAATACAAGAATCCTTCCTAACAGCTATTGATGACTGTGCTGACTGGGCTGGTGGGGAAGGAGTTCCCCATTTGTGGGGTTAGGCAAATAGGAGCTTGGCTGGTTATAAAACAAAATATCTAGATTGTTAGAGAAGACTCTAGAACTGAGGAACTAAATCATAGAAAGAGACATTACTCTCATGTTCCCCTTCCCTCTATTTTGTGTGGCATTTCTTCTCCTTTACATTACTTCCCTAGCTGCATAGAAATGACTTACCTGCGTAGGGCTCATCTGGGCTGGGAAAGAAGGACCAACAGTAATATTTTATTAGCAGGTGGAGTGACTCAGCTGCCAGTGTGTAAATCCAGCCGCACCCCCATCCTCCTGCCACGAAATTCAGCAGCAAGTACTTGAGTCATAACAATGTAGATATCTATTAATGCTGGCCCTGGCCCAACTGTTATGGTACCGATGGGACGCCTGAGCTCCTCTGAGAGAAGGGAATAATCCAAGGGGTGCAAAGCCAGACTAGAACCCAAACCCACCTCCCAGTCTGTGGCTGTGCCTCCTTAAACAAGAGGAATGTGGTGAAGCCTGGAAGGCTTAGTGCTGCACAGCACAAGTGCTTAGCAGTTTGCTGAATGAATGAAGGCTGCTCCTGGTCTCCTGGTCCCAGACTTTGTAAGGAAGCTCCCCACACTTGCCCAGGTAGAGATACCAGTAGCCCCCCGAGCTTCTGCTTGCAGGTGAGCTGCCTGTAATCCCTATCCCTATACCTGATACCTTCCAAACTCTTTAAAGCCCCTCCACCTCACAGCCTTCTATCTACCATGCTGCCCACCTTGCTCCAGACATGCCACTGCTCTTGATCCCCCAGCATTGCTTAGTTCAGTCCTGTGTCGGGGCCTTTGTATGCGCTCTCTTCCTACCCAATCTTTGCATAGCTGGCTCCTGAATACTCAGTCTCCTCTCTGAGGCCTTCCCTGTCCACCTAGCTGGAGAGACACCCCCAGTCACCACATCTTTTGCTTTCATGGCTCTTATTATTACCTAAATTATCATGTGTTATGAGTTCAGATAATTGTCTCCTCCATAAGAGTGTCAGCCCTTGGAAACAGGGACCTTGTCTGTCTTAGTGTGTGTCCCTTACTTAGTGCAGTTGTGTCCCTAGTATCTAGCACAGTTCATGGCAGGTAAGAGGTACTCAGTAAATATTAGTTGACTGAATGAATCATTAATGGGACTTCCCTCTTCCTTTTGGCATGAAGCCTTGCTTTTAGCTTCAGTGTGGTTCCTTGAATCTTCCCCAGGCTTCTTTCCTACCTATTCTAGGGCCACAGCTGTCCGCTGCCCTAGAGTCTGCCACAAGCTGGCCCCAGGGGCTAAGTGTTGAGTGGGTGGAGCCAGACTTGACACAGTTCCTCTCATGGCTTCCAGAGTGTAGAAGCCAGAGAGCTAGAATTCTAGTCTTACCTTTTCTCTGGGACATGGCTGGATATCTCACTTCCTCTCTGAAGATCTCACTCCCCCTTGCCTCTGAAATAAAGTTGGAAATCCCAGACTCTCGAGATATGAGGGTTTAAGTTAAGGTGAGTAGAAAGTGCTTTATAAATAAGCTAACTTTGTGACACTCATGTGAGTGAATCCTTGCCATTTGTTCTGTATAGCATGCAGTACTCCCCATTGCTGTGGAGAATAGCATGTTCCTCTCTGGGGCATCAATAAAAGATTCCCCAATGGACAGCTAAGGTGGAGTCCCATCAGTATATTGACTGGACATCTCCTGTGAGTCAGCCAAGATCCATACCTTCAAGGAAACAAGACCAGGGGTTCACACAAGATGATGGTACAGAGGGATCTGGGCCGTGACAGAGAACAAAGGGGCAGTTGTGGAAGCCTAAAGGGGAGGTTGTGGGAAAAGTCTTCCTGGAAGAGGTGATCTTGAAATATACATAGATGTTAACAAGGCGGGCAAGAACATTCAAGTACAAGGAATAACGTAAATAAAGCCATGTGTTTGGGTAGAAGGGGCGTCTGACTATGGATCAACCTGGGCAATGGTCCTGCTTCATTGTACCCTGAGAAAGAGACAAGGAAGACAGCATGCTTTGTCCAGGCCTGTGGGGGCTCATCTCCATCTGCCTAGGAAGGAAGACATGAAAGCCCCTCAGAAAGGAGCCTGGTGTAGTCAGAGTTTCCTGGTTTCTACCACCCCTGGAGACTCCTTGTATGGAGCTGCTGTTGGCCAATGGGATCACTCTCAGAGTTAAATGCAGGGTCTGTACAGCACCCACTCTGCCACTGACCTGCTGTGCAGCCTCAGCAGGCCACCGCCACTTGCAGTCTCTCAGTCTCCTATATGAAATGGACATAAGGTGAAGAGAGTATCTTCCCAGTTATGGTGCTGAACTTGGACCCTTTGGGCCTATCCAAAGTAGCAGGAACCCTGAACTTCTTTTCCTTATAAGAGAAGTTAGCAGTTCTGAGCCAAGTCCAGGAGCCTGGCTCTGTACCTGCTTCCCGAGTGCCTTGGGAAAGACCCTCTCCTTCT